AAAAGCGCTATAAAAATGTGCTAACCACATGTTTCTGCAGGACTTCAAGAGCTCGCAGAACGCCACCAGCTCTCCGACAAGATTAATGCATTTTTAACTGTGGGCGTACCCTTTCCCTAAAATACCAGCACAAAGATCCAGCCAACTCCCACACCAAAGGCTACGGAGCTCCAGAGGCTTTGAGTTTATCGCCATCTAGTGACAAGAGTAAAGCCATCCACAGAACCTCAGGCACGCTCTTTGCGGGGAGCCCCTTATCCCTCCAGCAGCAACACTAAACCGTACCTTGTGGCAGGGAGTTCCACAGATTACCTTTTGTTTCCTTCCCTTTCAGCTTAGGCAAGCGTTCTGCTCTTGGGAGATAAAAGGGAATGCATTTTCAGGGCAGCTTTCCTGTGTGCTGCACAACGATAGGCCTAAGGGAGCTCAATTCTTTTTCCCTCCTTTCTCTCCGAGGTCAGTCCACCTCATCTATCTGCTAGAATACAGACAAGGAAGAGTTAAATACACAGAAGTTAACTGCCTCAAACAGGAAATCAGCAGCAGAACCTAGATATCAAGTCCTTTGTCAGGGTTTATTTAAAACATCTCTATTTTTCACAGATTTCATTACTTCCTTCAACCACGTAATACCTGATTACAACGGGGTTGTCTCGGGCACAAAACAGGTTTTATAGGTAATGACTAATTAGCTCTGAACTTTCACCAGCATGGGCTGGGTAATACTGGATGTTCTGTAGGACAAGAAGCAATTGCAGGAAAAAAAAAAAACACATTTTTTATTAGCACAAAATAGAACAGAAAAAATAAAATGTGCCCTTTAAGGATGCTCATGCAATGGCTCAGGGTAAGGGAGAATTAAAGCTCACACAGACGTATTCTGATCCAATTCCTCTTTCACCATAACTCTTAGTAAACACCAGCCCTTCTACAGTAAATCTATGAAAGAAAGAGATTTTGAGAACTTTCCAATATGCTTGTGTAATAGATCATCAGAAGAATTCTTTCACTTCATCCCATCGGCCTTGTAGTACGTCCTTCAGTCTAATTGTAAATAGGAACTTCAGAAATCCAGCTTGTCTAAGACCCCTTTGCTCATAGTCAGGGCAGCAGCACAGGACTGTACAGCACTGCCAAGGCACTATATGAGAGCTCACACCATTCCCTTGGGAAGGAAAAGCATATTGCTGTCAGGTTTGCCCTTGGCAAAGTGCTCACTGAGATTGAAAGCTTCCTCCTACTGATTTCATCACACTCAGAAAAAAGTTAAATGTAATCCATGTACTTAAATATCCCTTTTTTAATTACAATTACAGGTGAACACTCATTACAGATGCGTTTATTGCTTTGAGCTTTTCAGGAATATCTTGGGTGTTTGCCATCCTTCAGGGGGTTTTTTCAAGCCAGCTCGTTTCCAGATGCGCTCCAAATCTTTCTCAAACTTGACCTAAAACAGAATATATAAAGAGACATAAAACTGTAACATAGTTTAGAAGCAACACTCAAGATTTCATCCCTTGTCCATGTGTCCCAGGGGGAAACCAGGAAATAATGTAGACACAAAGGAAAAATGCTTTTAGTAGGCAGCTTGTTCCAAGTGAGTTTCTAAGAAAACATACTGAACTGCACAAGCATTATTTTAAAGTCCAGTGCAAAGAAAACTGAGAAGATGGAAAATGAAACTGAGCAAATTAAGAGGATTTCCTCATCATGAAGTGCTCAACACTGCTACCTACAAACCTCAAGAAATGGCATTACAATTAGCCCCAATCTGCATCTAGGCAAGTTGAAAATCACCAGAGAATGAACTAAACTGTATTATAGCAAACCTAACAGCTGAAAGGTAGTGGTGAATGAAACACCTATGGCTTGAATGAAGTCCTATGTCTTCCTTCACCCCTTCTATTAAGGGAAGTAAAAGGCTTCTATACAGGAACAGGCAATAGGAAGCACTTAAGGATGCTGGCAGGACAGAACAGAAATCAAACCAGTCTCCCTGATGTAACACAGACACATGAATTAATCTTCCACACAAACACTAAAATCCCTCTCCATTAGCCACACATAAGTTACTGTCATGAAGAAAGGTTATGCATAGCAACTATCACACATACCTGTTTACAACCACAGAGACAGGGTGAATTACAGCTTCTGAAGATGCATAGGTCAAACACTAACCAGAAAAAGCTATTGTACCAGTAAATGCTGAATTCATTAAGGCTCCTGAGCTGCTGCTGCCACTTCCCCTAAATCAATTCCACTTAAAACCATGATTTGACACCTGAACCAGTCTGAGAAGCAGCCACATTTATGTCATGAAGCTCTCCACCCTGAGCTTACCTGCCGTTTCTTCTTGCGACCTTCCTTTATCCTCCTCCGTATGAACTTCCTTCTCTTCAGCAGCTTTTTGTACTTGTGCTTATTCATTTTCCTCCTGCGAATCTCCAACACGTTCTTACACTGAACCTTGTTGTTAGGTGTTCCTTCTCCTTCCTCCACATCACCTCCCTCATCGGCTGGGGGACAGTCATATCGCTGGAGGGGTTCCCGGCCAGCATCCTCCTGAGCATTGAGGCCTTCTGCTTTCGGAAGGAAGTACCTGACTGTGAGCCAGCTCTCCAAAGGGCTGATGGACAGTTTTCTGGGGATCAGAATCTCTTCCAGTTCAGGGTCATGGGATTGCTGAGCGTGGGCTCCGCTCTTGCTCGAGGGCTGCGTGCAATAGCGTGCAGGTGTAGAATGATAGCAAAGAAAGGAAGACACTGACCTGGGCAAACGGTGGCCTTGGAGGAGAAAAGAAATTCACTTAAGAGGCAGAAGTTTCAAACAGGACCTTAAGAAAAGCTCTGTCCAGCTCTCAAACCATCAGACCACTGTGGCCAGGATAACCTCCTAGAGGAAGCTGCTTACAAACTACGTTCCCATCACAAAAACAAGGAAGGATGTATTTAAACCGACTTACATTGCTATAACGTCATTACTAAAACTACATTATACAGTGTTTTACTGTATAAACTGCGTTAGTGCGGTTTGGAATGGGTAGGAAGCGGGTAGTCTGCTGGTTTAAGCCTTTCTGCTGCTATGCAATCTCCTCCTAAGCTTAAAAGAAGCCAAATCAGAGCTACACAATACTGATAGACCAGAGACATAACAAGAGCCTCACCGCTCCTGCCCTGCTCGCTGGGACAGGAGTTTCTGGGAGCAAGCACAGAACCACCCCAACCAACAGAGCAAAGCACATGAGCCCAGATCACAGAACAGCCACGCACCTGCAAGCCGGGAAGCCCTCAGCAGATGGGAAGCCGCCTGTGCTATTAACATGCTGCTTCACTCCGCTCACTGTCGGAGGCAGGAAGGGCTGTGAAAACAAGAACACCGATTACAACGAGGTAAATACGTTCCCAAAGCTCTTCCCTACTGCCCCCCAAGAGGCGGGCTGAGGCACCTGCAGCACCCTCCTCACTCCACCAACACTCCCTTATGTTCTGCCGCAGAGGCCTGGCCCACAGGCACCGCTGCAGACGTGATTAATAAAGCTTCGGCCTCCCTAGGCTCAAAACCAAGGCCGCTTCAGCCGCCAGGCACACAGCTCGCGGTGGTGTGGGGGGAACGGTGCTTCCATAGCACAAAACGGAGGGGAAGCGAGGCGCAGCCCCGCGGCCTAACCAAGGGCCATCACCGAGGGCGGCCGGCTCGCCCCCGCCGCAGCCCCGCACCGCTGCTCCCCTCAGCCCGCGGCCGCCATCACTCACCAGCCCACCCGCCTCTGCCCCGGAACTTCCGGCCGCCGCCGCGCAGGCGCCGGGCTCAGGGCATGGGGGTGAAGGGCGGCGGGGCCGTGCCTCTGCCGCGCTGCCCTCGCAGCCGGCAGCAGAGCCGGGGCAGCGCTCCAAAGGCTGTGGCAAAGGGGCGCTGCCCTTCCCCGCTGCCTGCTCCCGCCGTGTGGGTCATGGAGCGGGGGTGTTTCTGTCCGCATTCCCCACAGCCAGCTGGGGGAAGAGCGTGGAGACGGCTCCAGGGAGATGATGGAGCAGGTTTCCAGTCCATCAAGGGGCCATGAGGAGGCTGGAGCAGGCGTGCGGTGATCGGAGAAGGGGAATGGCTTTAACCTGCCCGAGGGGAGACTGAGATGAGCTCTTAGGCAGAAGCTCTTCCCTGTGAGGGTGCTGAGGCGCTGGCACAGGGTGCCCAGAGAAGCTGTGGCTGCCCCATCCCTGGCAGTGTTCAAGGCCAGGTTGGAGCAAGCTGCTCCAGTGGAAGGGGTCCCTGCCCGTGGAACTGGATGAGCTTTAAGGTCCCTTCAACCCAGACCACTCTGGGGTTCTGTGATGACTCCTTTCCCACATCCAATTCCAACGAAACAGTTCAACGAGCTTGCCCCTTACCTGTTGGGTTTGTGCTGGTCCCGCAGGCACCCTTTGAGAGGGGAAGTCAATGGCTGGCAGTTGATAGCACTGCACTTTGCTCACCTGCTCAACCACAGCAGCCCATCACGGAACGCTGCTCACGGGGTCGTTAGTGAGACTTCGTATCCCTGTCAGCACAGGGACCACGGGAGGCACACAGACAGCGCTCCATGCACACCCGCAGCCGCATCCGAGGGCAGGTCTGAGGGTGGCTGCTGTCCAGGAACAGCCGCGCCTGTCTCTCCCACTTACCTGGCTGCTGTTTGTCTTTGACTGGTACAGGAGCCCACCGCCTTGGCGCAGCATGAAAGTGCCTCATCAGCTGGCAGGGGGGAGCGATGCTCAAGCCAACCCCAGACTTCAAAGAACTTTCTGCTTTTATACTCACTCCCAGGCAGAACACAGGGTGCTTGTTCACCAGCTGCTTTGAGGATTTCAGCCTAGAACAAGGGTCTGCCTCAGCTCCAGGTCCACCCCACCACGTCAAACCCATCTAGCCCTAAGGGCGAGAGTTTCTTCCTGCAATGTACGTTTCTCTGGTCAGGGAACAGAAACCTATGTGCAGACAAATGAAGTGGTTCAGTAAACAGGCTGTTTGTTTAAACAGGGCTTTATTGAAGACAATTCAGAAGTTTATGTACAAAACAGCATTGCCACCCCCATATCAGGATGTTAGTCACCCACTGGGAACAAAGCAAGTGCCTGGTGTGTGCTGTCAATCTGGGGACATGCAGAGGTTGCTGAGGAGTTGAGAGAAGTACCAAATCCATGTAGTTTAGAGCTGGGCAACTGCAGCCTTGGCTCCATTAGGACTGAAGGAAACCAAAGAACCTTTCCCAGAGCCATGTCTCCAGTAGACTGGAATCTGACAGCATACACTGGGCCTTACTCTGAGGTCAGGTCATTTACTTCTGCAAAGAGTTTGGTTTTGGAAGTGATGAGGAACCAGCCCCTGGATCTACCTTGCTTTATCTTCTATCTATTTTAGGTGGTTCCATCACTAAGAGCACAGTAGTATTTGCAGGAGGCATTAGAACAGAGCAGTAGCAATACCAAGGAGAAGAGTCGGCCACCTCACTTCCCACATACACCTAGAAAGAGGCTGGTATCCAACTGGCTATTTCAACTAGTGTATAAGAAAACCCTAGGGACACAGACAATAGTGGCACAGTTAAACAGTGACTGATGTGCTGTTTCTGCAGTGTGCTGGGCACTTCTACCACGGTAGTGTTTCCCCTTGCCAGTCCAGGAAGGAACCGTTCTCCTTTTCGCCAAGACGGTCCAGAACAGAGAGGATACCAGGGATAGCCTCTTGCACCTGCATGGGAGCCTACAGCAAATCAAGTTAGATCATTACAGGGAATATCTTACAGAAGAGAATCAATGGCATTTAAGGAGTTACTAGAATCAAGGGGGATGTATTTTCATGCTTCTCAAGGGCCTCTGCAGCACACGGAAGTGTACACTGTGCAGAGGGCTCTTGCACAAGGGCTGGGACAACACAGGAGTCATGCTGTCACATTTCACATGTCACTTACCATGTTTCCACCCATGTCTGTCTGAAGCCAGCCTGGATGCAAAGAAATACAAAGAATTCCATCCGATTTCAAGTCTGCAGCGAGGCACCTGGTGATCATGTTCAGCGCAGTCTATGGGAGTGGAAACCATCGATCAGCGTGCTAGCTTTACAAAGCTTGAGCAAGACCTTAAGCCAAGCTAAGTGTCACCTCCCTTCCACCATGCTGCCAAAGGAAGGGGCAGTAACAGTATCACAGTAACTTATCCAGGCTTAGTGGGGCTTCATTCTCAGAGATGCCTTCTAAGAGAAGCACTGTGAAAGCTCTGTTGCCATTAGCTTACTGCCCAAAGATGAAACCAAATTATGATGGAAGTTAAAGAGCCATGTGAAACTGCTAAGGAGCTGTGGAGAAAATAATATTGACATAAGGACTCTGTTTTTCTGCAGTAATCACTACACAAACATTCCGGGTTTGACTTCTGAACAGGGAAAACAAGCACACCAACAGCTTATGAGGAGGTGGTGTAGGAGAAACTGTAACGCCTGATCTTGACTGTACAAACTCTGGATGTGACAAACCTCAAAACTCCACCTTTCCTTAGCAAGCATTGCCAGGTACAGCTCAGCACACCTTTTGTGGAGTTCCATGCTTGCTGTCTTGCTTGGACTGGACAGGAACACAACTAATAGGTTACACACCTGATGGCATCAGTTCTTCCCTGAATGCCAAGTCCCTCTGCAATGGGTCTGTATGGGAGCCATGATGGAACCTGTTCTTAAGAAGCTGGCATGCTCGCTCCAGGTGTATGGTTTTCCCATTTCCAGCCACATGAGGAACAAGGACAGTTCCTGTGTCAGCCTGTCCAAGAGGTGCTGCACACCTCACCTCATCATCCTAAGCTCAGAGTGGTCTTTAACTCGCCCATTGAGCACAGCCCACAAACCTTTGCTATCCTGTAGGGGTAGACCTTGAGGAACATCTCATTTGCCTGGACGAGTTGCATGGAGGCAGCAAGAGAGGACATATTGATAATAGCAGCTCTGTGGCAGCCCATTCCCGTGCTCAGCTGGGCTGCCTTCCTCAGAAGGGGGAGAAATGCCTGTGGAAACAAGAGTTTGTGTGAACTTGGTCAGTTTGCCCTTGGCCAAAGCAATCTATGGAGAAGGGTGATGGCTCCCCATACAAGCTGACTATAGGAAACCTGTCTACAACAGCCAGCTGTAGGTAGCAAGGACCTTCAGTCTCTTCTGGCCACCTCCTAACCCAGCCAATCCACTGAAGTGACCTTATACCAGGTGCATTTAAATTAAAAGAGCCTTAATAAAATGATTTCTTGCTGCTCTCTAGGCACACAGTGTGATATGAGAACTGTGTCTGTGCAGTCCCAGGGTGACAAATGCTTTGGTTACAAGGGGAAAAGCCTCTTCTAGTACCATAGATTAAGCACGTGCCTCCCAATTCTTACCTTGGTGACCATCAGCTGGGCAACTGTGTTGGTTTCATAAATGGTGAGCATCGTCTCTGCTGTGACTTCTTCCAAGGAAGCAAGCACATTGATGCCAGCGTTGTTAATGAGGCAGTTCAGACCTTTGTCGCCCACAATCTCCTCCACTTCCTTGACTACTTTCTTGATGCTGTTTTCGCAGACCACATCTGCACAGAGGAGCCAACAACAGCCACAGTGTGTGGGTCAGATGCTGTTTGTCACTGTCCGACGCGTGCCAAACCAAAGCTAAGGCATTAGTCTGAATGGGGACAGCACGCTGAGATGACAGCGTGAGGAGGACTTCACATAGATTATGTTATCTGAAGAGGAGGGTGATGGTTTTTCAGCTACTGATCACCCAAGAGACCTGTTCCTTCAGATGCACTCACCTGACTTAGCTGAATATAATGATGTATAAGCCGTTTACTCACCCAGCTGAAGGAGCTTGATGTTGCTGTATTGCTTGCTGAGCTGCTGGAGTTCCTAGAAAGAAGAAATCTTTCGGGTTATCTTTTACATAGCCATGACTATTACATAAACCAGCTTGAAATCTGCACCTCCAGCACTGAAACTGCCATTTCTTTTCGTAACTGGACTGCAGGCACTGACACTGCTGTGGCTGCAACCTGCTGAGCAGCTTTCCTGAGAGCAAGATCAACTGCCTCAAGAAACTGGACTCTTCATACTCAAGACCACCAGCACACTGAGTTAAGAGTTCTCGGTGCGGGCAGCTCGAGGTGTGCTTGCAGGGTAACCAAAGGTCTTTGATCAAGCAGCTCCCAGTGCCAGTTACAGCAGACCCAAAGCTCACAGTGCATTCCAGGACAGGAATTCCTCACTTCTTTAAGGAAAGCAGAATTCTCCTGAAGCTCAGCTCGTGCGTTACATCAGTTCAGGGCTACAGGAATGCTTAAGAAAAGCCATTTGGAATTAGTGTTACTAAATTAGTGGAATTTAGTACAGTTTCCTAGCAGTTTTCCCATGGAAATTCTGTTTTCCTGCACTCTCCTTAGCTTCAATTCTTTTAACTGAAGGTAAAGCACACATGAAACCAGTTACATACACAGCAACTGTCCACAAGAGCTATTCTCTCCCTGCTAGATAGCTGTAATTCACTCATCTGCCTACTATCTCTTAGCAGAGAACTGACTGGTGTTCTTGGAGGAAATCAGTGCTATCCTGGTGTTGCTGCTGGACAAAGTGTGTCCAAATTCCAGCTGGAATACTGAAGTTTCTGTGCCATGTAGCCAAGTGGGAAGCACGGCCAAATGTAACAGATGGATTACATACTCCCAGCTATGTTTAGGAGACTGAGCAACCTGGCCAAACATTCCAGCTCAAGCAGATCCATTTCTTTAGGAGCCCTTTGGGAATAGGGGTTAGGAGGGCTGGTTTTGAAAGAGTACTTCTTTGCCACTTGGAGACACTTTGGGACTCGGTGTCCTCTGTCAAGCTGTAATGCATTACATCCTTTATCTCAGTTCATACTCTGCAGGATTCCCTCCAGGCTTGTTTAGAGAACTTGTTCTCCCACTGAGGACAATCTACAACTGCAGTTAAGGCCATTAAGGGGAGGGGAAAGGAAGGGGAACAAGTCAGAAGCACAAAACCAGAAGACATTCCTTCCCCTGGATAGGGCTTAATGGGAGAGTTTTCAACAGATGAAAGGCTCAGAACACACTGTCTTGTTTATCGATAGCCAGCCATGAAATAGTTCTGCCATGTCAAGGCCTGCAATAATTCTGGGGCTTTGGACTGGACTTCGGTTTGACAGCATCACTTACTTGATAATAAACTCCAGAAGTGCTCTGGCTTCCCAAGGTTTGTTCATTTATTTATAGCCACATTGCTTTACTCTCTGGCAGAAACAAGCTACTAACTTCTGCTAAAAGGCCAGAGATGTTCTGTGTAGTGACAGCAGCCGAGAGGCTTCTGAAGTGAGAAAGCAATATGTTCAATTACCAACTCCAAAGAGGGCAGGAATAAGCATTCATCCAGAACATAACCAGCATGAAATTACAGTTGCTGGATGCAAATCAGCTTTCAAATGCAATGATTTTTCCATTGGGTTAATTACTTGGTTAACAAGTGACTCCCACTTCAGTGCTTGAAGTTTCTCAGAAACAGTTTCCAGGCATAAAACTACCTTAGAGAGCGTTGGTCTTCGAGAACATTATTCTGCCTTAGATTAGGATATAAACAGGAGATGAAAATCCTCTCAGGAAACCTAAACACTGCAGGAAAGCCTCTCCTTTTCCCTGCTGTACCTAGAAGGAACATGCAGGGAGGAGCACTGAGGCACATTGCACTGCCATGAATGCAGCATGTCTGAATACAGCCGTTTTGAGCCGTGTGTGCTGCTTCTCTCCCCCCACCCCAGGTAGTTCTGATCAAAGACACCAAAAGCCTCCTGTGTCCAGAGAGCTCTGGAAGTATTACTGCAATGCAATGCAGTGCAGCCCATAGAGAAGAATAAGGGAGCTCATTGGCACTGCTGTTTGAGGTGCAGCTCGTGCTTTAATGTCAGTTCATGCGGTAAGTACAGCTGACATAGCCCAGGCTAAGTCATTTTTAGTTGGAGTAATGTGATAACCAAATTGAAACCAAGCAATACAAACCCAACACCACAACCCCCTCGTAGCTCTGCACCTGGATAGTGCCCCCTGAGAATGCATTCTTAGGGATTCCAAGGAAAAATTACCCTCTGATTAGCATCTCCTTTCCTGCCTGCTGATCCTAACTACGATTAACAAAGAGCCAGCCTAATCCACTTTAAACAAGGCTATCCCAGGTACAGCTCCATCAATACGCAAGGTATTTATTGCTGGATCTCAGGCAGGAATGTTGTCTTTGTCATTTAGCAAGATTTACTCCGTCTTCTTTCTGAAAGCATTATTCACTCTGGTTACAACTCTTGGAAAGGACCTGGCCATCCGAGGCCAGTTGGAAGCAATCAAGCCAAACTAACAGAGACTGTAGGCAGCTTTGTCAGGCAAAGAGCACTTGGGTATCCGTCACATCATCCTGCTTGGACAAAGTCAAAGATGGATCATATTGAGACAGGCTATCCGGTATCACAGTGTACAGCCAACTCACTGTTTGGCTGTGTTGATGCTTACACTGAGCTCCTGCAGACTGCCCCAAATCCAGAAGAGCTGAATCTTAATGCTGTAGGAAGTGCAAAACACTTCCAGAATAAAGCAACAGACCAACACTGTAATAACCTTTGAATAAGAATGAGAAGGACCTCAGGAATGCCCCCTTTGCCTGTTACAGCACCTCTGTGTCTCACTACAGCACTGTCCTTCCCAATAGCAGCCACATGGCTTAAATATGTAGGAAAGGAAAACCACAACCAAAACCTGACAGAGACAGTGAGCAGGAGCACTTCAGTGCGAGCTCTGTGTCTGACAAGGGAACAGACACAGCACTGTTGGTAACACTATCTCCTACTTCAGAGGAAGGGAAACAGCACATTAAGCCCTGGAAGCTTTCCAGAGTCCAGAAGAGGACTCTTGAGCAGGGAGGAACTGAACGCTTTCTTGTTCACCTGGGAACACACTTGGGCTTGCAGGGAGAGCAGGAGGAACAAGAGATGCTCCTGTCCCACACTCGGCTCTCAGCACAGCCAAGCTGAGTACACAGAGTGCTGTGAACTGATTTACACTGGGGCCATTTGGATCCCTTCAGCTACCTGGCTCCCCCCAGAAAGCCATCTCTTCCTTTTACATCCCAGTAGGTCATAGTGGGGACTACAGCATCATTAGGTGCAGCCTGAGACTTTAGGTCAGAGGGGTTTTCCCACTTACGGGGAAGCAGGATGGGGGAAAAGGAGCAAGAAACCAAAGCAGCGTGGGGGGAGAACACAGATGGGTCCATGAGCCATCTGCCTTATAATAACCACGCTGTGGTTTTGTCCATCTGGAGTGCAAAGACAGGACATCAGGATCATTCTGCGAGAGGTTTGTAGCTGCTTCCTCTCTCTTGGAGCGGCCCAAGCGAAGGCAGCTCCGAATCAAAGCGTGGCTGAAGGAGCCTCGCATGGTGCTTTTCGAGGAGGGGCAGCGGTTATCTCGCTTCGCCTGCAGGCCTGCTGAGTGTTATCGTGTGATCTAAAAGCCATTTGTTAGGCAAATGTTCCGCGGAGGCCACCTAGGAGCTATTCAGCACAAGAAGGCTGAGTTTTTACAACTCCTGCCAGCACACTCACATGCAAGAGCCTGCAGCTGCTCAGCATTAGCCAGGGTGAGCGAGTTACAGGGGTGCTGCTTTCTGCAGTAAGCAGAGGAAAGCAGAGCCCAGCATCTCTTCCTAAAGTCAGCTCCTCGGGGCTCTTGTCCATCCGCTGTTCAGAGGACTCCGGAGTATGCAGTTATCTCCGTGTCAGCTACACCCTGAGATTCCTTGGATAACTCGCAGCTCCCAGGGAATTGCTGCTGACTGTCATCCCCTCAATGCATTTGCCAGGAGCTAAGTATATCTCATCACTTTTCCTCTAAAAACTGGCATTCTGCTTTTAAACGGCTTTTCATTTAAGTTCTGCCTATCCTCTTTTCCCCTCCCTGCATTCTGCAATAGGATAATGCTATTGTACCAAACCCGGTGAGAGCAGACTGTCCAAGGCTGCTGTTCTCCAAGTCCATCCTCAAATCCAGGAGGAATAAGGGACAGTGCATTCATATAAAGCAGGATATCTTATATGGTCCCTTCCCACAGAGAAAAACGGGAGGAAACAAAAGTAAACTGCTTGAATCACCATCAAGAGACAAAGGCAGCACTGACAGCTCAGGTGTGCAGAGAAAGAACAAGCCCCTCACCATCACAGCCCAGTCTGTGTGGTCAACAGGCAGGTATTAAATGGGCAAAGCCCATTTTGTGTGCACTAAGGCAGTGCCTTGGGAGGGCAGGAACCTGAACGCAGGGGTTTCAGTGCTTGGGAAGTCAGTGAAGGGAAAGCAAAGGAAAGAAGATGGCTGCACCTTTGCCTTTCCTTTCCCATCCCACACTCAACATTGCCAGATTGGATCCAAGCTCGGAGCCAGTGGTTGCGCATGGTGCCAAGACTCCCGTGGCTGGAGGCTCGAGCACGCCTGTGCTTGCCCTCTGCCAGCGAGAGGGACTGGCAGCAGGGTGGAAGCACCTCAGAAGGTGGAACGGCTGTGCCAAGGCTGTGCGCTGCAGATGGGACGGATAACACCAGCGAGACAACCACAGCACCTTCACTAAAGATCTCCCTTCCTTGCGGAGCTTCCAAAGCCATCTGTTCGAAATGTGCTTTCAGCTGGCTGCAGAGGTTCCTATTGATGTCCTGCCAAAGCGCAGCACATGGCCTAGAGGTCCTTAGAAAGAACAAAAACCCACCCTGATCCACCAAGGACAAGTCTCCCCCCCAACCAGCCCATTGGGATGCACCCCATGTGGCCTGCAGAATCGCCACTGGGGTTACTGGAATGCGGCTCTTGGCCAGCTTCCTGCCTACAGGAATCGCGGCTGCCAGTCTTTCCAGGTTTCTCCCACTGCTAGCGAGGAGTGACCCAGCCTCTTCCCAAGCACACTGAGCTGCTTGTGCAGGTTTTGCCAGCCTTCCTGCTCAAGGTTTTTAAGTACTGGCAATGAAAACCCTCACAAAGCTCTGTGAAGCTCAGGTGATGCTTCCTAGGAAGCTCTTTAGAGTCAATATAAGGCAGAAGTTCTTCGCTATGAGGGTGCTGAGGCGCTGGCACAGGGTGCCCAGAGAAGCTGTGGCTGCCCCATCCCTGGCAGTGTTCAAGGCCAGGTTGGACACAGGGGCTTGGAGCAAGCTGCTCTAGTGGAAGGGGTCCCTGCCCGTGGGGAACTGGGTGAGCTTTAAGCTCCCTTTAAGGTCCCAAACCATTTTGCTCCCCGCTGTCATTGATCCATGTCCATTACAATGAGAAATCACTGCTGAACACGAGGGCCAGTTGGTGAAAAAGCACCTCCCTCAGCATGAAAGCAGCTTTAGAACAAACAAGTGAGCAGGGAGATTTCTATCTCACAACAGGTCCGATGTCTCCGCTGGTTTCCTGCACCACGGCTGCTGTGCTGAGGGTTGTGCAATCACCAATAGGAAACGCAGCTGGGACGAGAGCCAGAGCTTGTAACAGGAGTTAAAAGCAACCGGGATGATGGTGAATACCTGTGCAGGGGCTCATGTAGCACAGAAGGGGGGGTGAGGGGGCTGCAGGAGCCTGCTGGACTGTTTCTCAGCAAGTCTATTCAGAAGCATCCTAAACGTGCCTTTGTGCTGGAGAGAGATTCTGACATGAAACAAAGCTTTTTCCCTTTAGCTCTATAAGCACCTGCAGAGCAGCACAGGGCTGCTGGAGCGGTGAGAACACAAGCATGACCTGCACTATAACCTCTGAAGGAGAGGGGCTTTGGACAAGGGATGTAGGGACAGGGCAAGGGGAATGGCTTTAACCTGCCAGAGGGGAGACTGAGATGAGCTCTTAGGCAGAAGCTCTTCCCTGTGAGGGTGCTGAGGCGCTGGCACTGGGTGCCCAGAGAAGCTGTGGCTGCCCCATCCCTGGCAGTGTTCAAGGCCAGGTTGGACACAGGGGCTTGGAGCAAGCTGCTCCAGTGGAAGGGGTCCCTGCCCGTGGCAGGGGTTGGAGCTGGAGGAGCTTTAAGGTCCCTTCCCACCCAAAGCACTGTGTGGTTCTAAGGGGGAGCCTCACAGCATCTCCGAGCACTTCTGTGGAGCAGTGAACAAAGTTGTCGCGTTTCCTCCGGTGCCGGCATGGTGCGATCGGAGTGCTCACACACTGTGACTCTGAACAGAATGAAACCCACCAGGAGGGAGCAGGCACAGAAGCTCTGTTTACATCCCTTCGAGCCAGGGAATTCTGCTAAGGCAGCCTCGTGCCGTGCTTTAAATAATGCAGAGGCTTTCGGCATCAATTCTCAATGTAATGGGGATCAAATATGCTTTTGGTATCGATTTTCCTACCGAATACCTATGGATTTTGGGTGCTTGAGAGAGTCATTGTTGAGAGCTCAGATTCCTGCAGCTCTGGAGCCCTAGAGCTTTGCTAAGAAAGGAGGAGGAGGGTGATACCTGGGGGCACTGCCGTGCTGCCCTGCAGCATCCTGCCCCACTGAGGAGTCAAGCTCACACTAGAGACAGAGCAGAGGAATGGCCACAAAGTGAGCAGACCCCTATCCCTCATTGATTTGCCTCCCAAAGGCTCCTGGAGTGCCCTTAATCTGCCTGACAATC